TTTGTGGGGATATATGAGATATGATATATACACTATATATATATATATCTTGATGAACATGCAGAGCAACCAGCAAGTTTGGTGTGAACTCGCCCACATAGGACAGGAATGTTGGAATTGGTCGCATAAATTTTCGGGAATAGCCTATATTTGGATGGTAGCACCATGTCTGTTCATGTCCATTTTTCCTGAAATAACCCTGGTGAAAGAAACCAATATCATGGAGGTCAATGGGTTATACCCTCTGGTAAACATACAAAAAACTACGGAAAATCACCATGCTATCAATGGGTAAATCCACTATTTCAATGGTGATTTTCCATGTTTTTTTGTATGTTTACCAGAGGGTAACCAGATTATCACAGATTGATGCTCCAATTGTATGGATCAGCTTCATCAGCAAACACTGCTCGTGTTTGCGCTTTTGAGACGCATCCAAATCGAATGGATTTTGATGGATTCTGGGGCCCTCAAGAGTATTCAGGTTGAGACCACCTGACCCCAATGGAGGACCCCAGCGTCGCAAGGCTAAAGGGTGCGAGCTTCGTTTGTGGTGGCAGCCGACCGTGCAGAAACTCAGGGAACCAGCTTGGTGAAAATGATTTCTGCTTGGTGGTGTCAAAGATGTTTTTTCCCGAACAAATTCGGGTTGATGATCCCCAATGACGAGCATCATTTGCAATCTGGTTGGTGGTTTGGAACATGTTTTATTTTTCCATTTATTCGGAAGAATCATCCTGACTGACTTTCATATTTTTCAGAGGGGTAGGTATACCACCAACCAGCAATCAGATTTGTTTAGGTGACAGGGATGATGATGATGATGATGACGACGATGATGACGATGGTGACGATGATGATGGAGGGATAGTCGCAGAATGCCCTGTGTGACAAGCCAAGCTTAATTTAGACTTTCCAAATGCGTGTTGTTTCTGAAAAAGGACAGCAAAATCACCAATGACAAATTCCAACGTGCGGAAGTAGAAGGATCGAATCTCTCCTTGGGAGAGCTATGTGGTACTTGTTGGTTGGTTTGAAGCCAATCTTTCAGACGTTTTCGCAAAGCAGAATTTCAAGTTTTTCACTGTTTGCACCGTTGTGTGTGTGGGTTCAACCCAGCATGCTGAGTCAGCTGGGCTGCTCCATAGCAATCATGGAATAGAATGCAAGCTGAAAGCTTTTGGATTATAGTAATCCCCCCAAAGATAGACAAGTAATTTATCAATATGTTACTAGGATTTTAGGTTTCTATTTTTTGGGGGTTGCTACAGATGCAACACCTCAACCTGAACAATCTCGTAGTGATAGTTGTTGATATCAAGGGTTTTGGTCATGCAAATGCATCTGAATAGACAATATGTGATTTGTCCAGACCATCAACATGAAACCAATGAAATCAACTGCAGTTTGTCGTTATTTGTCGTTTGTAGTTTCTAAAAACATGTGACCTTTCCATCCTGAACACGGTATGATGATCCCCATGGGGTTCAGAAAAATCCCAGAATTGGATGGAACACCTTAGATTTCCGCAGAAATCTATACACATCTTGGAATACCCAAAAAGCTAAACCATCATTCAATTGAAATCATCAGAAATCTATACACATCTTGGAATACCTATAGCTAAACCATCATTTTTTATCCCTTTCAACCTATAGCATTCAATCATCTTTTCTCATCTTTTCTCTAGAGTCAACCCTAGGAATACTCGAGTCATTCGCAAAAACCTTCAGCTTCGCCATGGATGTCGCAGCTCAGTGCCGGCTTGGTGGATTTCTCAACTCCAGCCCTAAGAGACTCGACGTTTTGAAAAACCGCGGAACTGGAACTGGTGGGAAAATTGGAAAAATGGTCGTTCTAATTATAGTGTATGTCTATATATATAGTATATATACATATATGTAGTATATTTATATATATATATAGTATATATACATATATGTAGTATATTTATATATATAGTATATATTATATATATAGTATATTTATATATATATAGTATATATATATATAGTATATATATATATAGTATATTTATATATATAGTATATATATAGTATATTTATATATATAGTATATATATATATATACATATATATAGTATATTATATATATAGTATATATTATATACTATATATATATAGTATATATATATATACTAAGATAAGATGTTCAAAGTGGCTGAAAATGTGTTTGAAAATGTCTGAAAATGTGGTATACCCGCATTTTTAACGAAAGCCGTGAACAACCTATGTTTCAGCAATTCCGAGATAGATGTGTCTGCAAATCGGGGGCCCTTACCTCCGGCTCTGGTGAACAATCGGATTTCAGTGGGGTGTTAGCCCAATTTGATTTAGGGTTATTTCATGTTATTTCCATGGGAAACATGATTTTCTCTACTTGGCTGAATCTTGGGGTGTCCCAAAATGTTCAGACAAACCCACTGAAGTGGGCTTGGTAACTATGATTCTATGATGATGCTTGAATGGAACATTTCCCTGTGTATGTGTGTGTGTGCGACTGATACCTTTAGCCTAATGGGCCTAATGTTCCACTTTGCCCTGCAAAGTGGTGCATCCGCCATTCAGAGCAAAACAAAAAAACGGTTGTTTCTCAGAGACATCTGTCTGAATGGAAATGGATCTTGTTCATTTTTTGAGATAAGACATTGATGTCGTTTTGGAGTAGAATATCATAGAATATATCAATCCGAATATCCGTTTTGATCTTGCAGAGAATGGTTCTGCCTCAGCAGATTCCTGTTGATAAAAAGATCCCCACGATATCCATGATGGAGTGGCCAACAATTTGAATATGATGGTATAAGATGCTATAGCATGGTATAACAGTATAATATATATATACACACAGTGTATCTATATATGTATATAATTATATATACACTATTAACATATGAATATTAAATAATATTGATGGACACAACGGTCGAATTTTGGAAACTTCGGGGTACTCAAGTGTTGACCTTCATTGATTGCCTGATCAGGAGCGCCCAGCGGGCAGATCTCTTATTTCCGTTGGTGAAAATCCCTCGTTTTCAGATGTTTTCAGGATATTATCCTATTGAATCAGTGTTCATGGTAAAATAGTCTTATGTTCTCCTCTATAGCTTATTCTATTTTTCTTAAAACTTGAAAAAAGCGCGACAAATGCAAAATAAATGGAAAAAACAAAAAGCAAATCGAGAAAGCAAAATAAATGAAAAAAATGCAAATGGACACATCCATTTTTTCCCTTTTTGACTTTCCTTTTTTGCCCTCTTTTTCCCCTTTTATTTTGCTTTTGTGTTTTTGGATTTTGCTGACTTGCTTTTTGGTTGTTCCATTTTTTGCATTTGTCGCGCTTTTTTTCAAGTTTAAAAAAAGTTAGAATAAGCTATGAACTGGTGAACATAGAAATCGTCATCATTATTCATTATTAATCATTATTCATGGCAAATAATTATCAAATTTCATGGTCAAGTTCACATAATGATTATCATATATTATGATGTTTCTTCATGAACTAATAGTAATTCTTATCATGGTAAAATAAGAGTTTCTTCGTCAAATCATGGTCAGGAGATGAAGCCATCGAACTTCTGGTGGCCGCCTTTAATGATGAACCCAGCGCCTCGCAGAGGGATTTCTTCAGAGGTTCCTGGTTGGTTTATTCCATTGGTATAGTCTAATTACATGTCTGGTTGGTGATTTGCAACTTGTTTTTTTCCCATTCAGTTGGGAATTTCATCATCCCAACTGACGTTCATATTTTTCAGAGGGGTAGGTATACCACCAACCAGTTAATGATGTTCTATTCAACTGGGATGATGTGGATTTCGCCTATCGGAAAAGCCACAGAAATTATGATCTACTTAAATGCTGGGCCCTCTATATCTATGTTAGACTACCGGAGCCCAAAAGTGACCTTACCTTTTTAAGCATCCAAAAGGAGATATGACCCTCGGATGGTATCGAATTGGAACAGCTGAGGTTTCCGCTGGGTTGTTGGCACTGAAGCGGGATCAGAGGGGCAATACCTGCGCATCTTGGCGATACCGCGATGCCATGAGTTTTAAGCGTCCTGGTTGCTGCATCAGTGATACTGTAGTTTTTAGAGGCTGGGAACCTCAGAGTTATAATGCGGTCAATGTCAGTCAATGTCATGTATTCTATGCAGTATGTTTTCCCAACAGATTATACTGTAGATTTCATGAGGCTATCATCCACTGTTCATGAGCGCATCTCTATGAAGAAACCATGACTACCACTGTAGAAGGCGCGTTCGCAGATGACAAACTGGGCACTGCTCAAAGCTCAATTGGTTGGGTATCATCTTCCATTGGTTGAGTCCCCATGTTTGCTTGGCCAAATCCTCATGTTTTACGCTTGTTACCTGTTTGCGTGGGTTGAGTGATTTCTTTTTTTCCCGGTGAAATCCATTAAATTGCAGATTCCCAATGTTTGAAGGTACAACGTTTATGATCGTTTATGTATATATATATAATTATATATATATACACAGTATACACTAATACCCATTGAATGTCCTAATGTGAGTATTCTAATACCTATTATTCCATTACCCAATGTGTATACTAAATGTACTGGTTCAATCAGTTCAATCTCCCAATTGTTCTGGGGAAGACCGCTTCAATTCTTCAGGATACGTTCGCTGGTTGGCCGCCTTAGCCGTGCATGTGATTCGGCGGTGGAGAGCATGTGGAGAGCAACAAGAATTGGGGGGCAACCAACTGTATAACTGCTTAATTGATATATTGAATATATTGGATCATAACTGTCATTATATCATACTATGATAGCTATAACCCCAATTATTGTTGGACAGCTGCTTAATATCCAACAATTAGTGGGATATTTAAGGGATCTTATATATATATATATACAATTTGATATGGTTTCAACCATATGGATATATTTGGATGAAGTTTTTTCTATATCTTAAAGGGACACAACACACATGAGCGTTCCTTGCGCCAAAATGGTATAAATTGCCCAACAAAATCTTCCCCGAGGGCGTTAGTAGGACGATGGTTCCGAAAGCCCAGTAAGTCGTCGTGGTCTGCCCCAAGTCCCGGATAGTCCTTGTTAGTGATACTTGAATGTGCATCCCAGGTGGTGACAGGATCAAACTTCCGATATGTTTTTCTGGTCTATCCACTTGGAATGAATTTGGTTTACAATGTTTTACCATATTTTAGTAGCATGGTTTAGATCATCGCAGTTTCTATGGTTTATATATTGATCAATATTATAGATATATCATACTGCCGAATAGATGGGTCCATCATATATCAATATCATAATCACATATATATATATATATATATCATTATAATATTGATATATGATATATATTATGATGGCTAATAACATATATAATTCACTAATATCAGTAGCCATTTTACAAGATATAATTCGGCAGTATCAATGGCTATCCCCGATGGCTGATCATCTCAGGTGATTCTAGCAGTGCGTGGGCTCTCTTTGGCTGTCCGAGAGGACGGAGAGGATGGAGAGGACCCAATGGGACGTGGGGAGATCATGGGTTGTAGGACGTTGGATATCTCCATTGATACCCGGCCTGGTAAACGTTTGCAAAAAGCGAACTGGAAAGATCCACCATGTTTAATGGGAAAATCAACTAGTTCAATGGCCATGGCTTCAATAGCAAACTGTTAAATTACAAGATATATCCATTGATATCCCATTGCTATCTATGCCCTCTGGTAATTTGAAATAGCTATTGAAAATGGCCATTGAAATAGTGGAGTTACCCATTAATAGCATGGTGATTTTCCATAGTTATGTAAACGTTTAACAGAGGGTATCTATAATGGGGATAACAATCCATAATGTGAAGAGATGTAGATTTGACCAACAGAAATAGGCTTTTGATCACTATTCATGATATTGAGAAGCATTTAGCCAACAGAAATGGGGGGTACAACTCATTGTATGGGGATATATGATATGGGATGTAATGAGATACACCAGTATATGCATAATCAACAATATGATACGTGGGTCTGTCCAAACATGGAGTATACCCCAAAATTGCAAAATTGCCATTTTTGATGTGGATTGGCATCTGTTCCGACAAACCCATGTGGTGACAATTTGCCAGCTAGGTATTTCCAGAAATAGGCGGTGCCCTAAACCCATGGATTGAAAAACTAATTGTTTTAATTTGTTGTATAGCCTTATGACTTTGACACTTTGGTGGTTACCTTTTTTTCAGGAAACGTTGTTTAGACAAACAAAAACGGGGACTATATGGGCGTGCCTGAAAATGACGGATACCCCAAAACAGTCATTTGAATGGGGAAATCAATGATCAACTGACCCACCATGTTTTTTCAAATGTAGCCTCTGGTAAACATACGTACAAATAGCTATTGAAAATGGCCATTGAAATAGTGGATTTACCCATTAATAGCATGGTGGATCGTTCCATAGTTTTGTGTAAACGCTTACCAGAGGGTAATGGGGATAACAATGCATAATGTAGAGAGATGTGGATTTGACCCACAGAAATAGGCTTTTGATCACTATTTCATGATGATATTAGGAACACCGGGACATTACCAGGACCAAATGCTGGGTGTGGCCTTGTTGATACCACCTGAAACACGCTTGGAGGCGGGGGGAAGGTGGGAAAGAGGTACTGTGCCTGGCCGATCTCGATATGAAACCTGGCAATGTGGCAATCACCATTGGAACAGGGACATCTAAAACAACTGGGTGAATTCAAGTGCCATGTTTGATCATTACAGTGGCGATGTGTCATGCCACCTGAGGTTTCAATCCGTGGCTTGATGGGGGGATGAAAATCAAGCTATAAAAACAAACTGAATTTTGGTATAAAAGCCCTGGTACCATGGTATGAAACACATTTAAACACCAGACCCTGGTTTCAGCAAACTTAGGTCGAGGGGGGAAGAAGTTTACTATAGTTGACTTGTCCGTTAAAACGAATCTTCAAGTGTATACATACCTATGGAAAATCACCATTTTTAATGGGTAAATCCACTATATATACAGTAAATGGCCATGTTCAATAGCTATGTTAAATTACCAGAGGGTACCACTTTCTCCTGTTTTTTGGATCAAATTTCGTATCCAACCTCTGGAGCCACATGTGATGTTCACTGTGTTGGTCTCAGGATGTGGGTCTGGCCGAGCTCACGAAGACGTCAGGTGCGTTCCGAATTGGGTTGACGACTTCGAATGCGAAGACTTGACAGTGTCTGAATATTGTTGGATATGGTTTATGAATATTTGTGGATAGATATGGTTTATGGGATGTTGATGAAGATGTGTGGATATCTTTGGATGACCGTATCTTAGGATTATTTGACTTGTTTAAGAGTATATGGTGAAGATCTGAATCATTGCTGGAATCCGCTGGCTAGATCTTACTACCTTTGGAAGCAACTTTGCAATTGGGTACAATGAAACTAGCTGCGTACCATCTTGGATGAGCCCAGGTGTGGGTCTTCCACCTTTTCATCGAAGTTTTCGATCAAAGAAGGTGCAGGTTTGGGTCTGACAAGCGGATGACCATGATTGACCATCATGTGATGCCTTGGATGAATGAGTTTATAACAACTCAAGTAGTGGGTGGTGTTACCCTCTGGTAAACTAACATAGCTATGGAAAATCACCATTTCTAATGGGTAAATCAACTATATTATCAAGTATGTCTCCTCTCATCCTTACCTCCCACATCCTTGTCTGAAATGATGGTCCGCTCGTAGCATTTGGGGCTTTCGAATGCATGGTATCGTTTTGAATGTTGAAACCGATACTGTAATGGGGGCAAACAACACCTTGTTGATCGTTTGTTGTCAGTCCCAGTGTACCTGGCAAGGTTTTGCAGTAGTTTAACAGATCTGTAGCATTCTTGACTGTCCGCTGTGCTAATCTACGTTCCGATTCCGATTCTTAGTGAATTTCCAGCCAGACGCGGCAAGTGACAAGATGGCCGTTTCCGTTTTTGTTCATTGAATCTTTGAATTCCCGTATGTAACATATTCAAGTCATAGAAAATCCTTTTCTTACATCAGGAAAATGAAATCTGAATATTTTGGTTGCCTCTTGCCCAGTCTTTGAGTGGAACAGTCCCCATTTTTGTTCAACGACCAGAGGCCTTTCCCTTCGACCCCCCTGCGAACTCAGATAGGTTTCTTGGGGCCGCGCGGCCCGTCGCCGTGAGCGGGTCCTTTGGCAGCTGTGTTGACGGGGGGAGAGGGCAAATCCCCTTAAATTCCCGAAGTACATGGAGGGTTTTAAGGGCAACGTCATCTATAAGTGGAGGATTTTCCATGGATTTTCCATTGCCAATGGTTGAACATTCCGGAGAGGTGTGAACGATAGCCATGCTGCCGAAATCGGAATCGTTGGATGAGCATTGCATGTGCCAGGGGGTGGCGTAAAGAGATAGAGCTGAATTCGGGAGTGACCCAATCCTTCAAATGACGGATTTGATTTTTGAAGCGCATGTTTGATTCTACAACGCTAATGCTAGACTGAAGCGATGGCAAGAATGCTGGTTGATGCTGATTGTATGTTATTGTCTTACCAACTCTGACTCTGGTTGCCTATGTCTCCTAATATTTCAACAGCTACAGGAAGGGTTACAGGAAGGGCCCCCCACAGTTATAGGACCCGATGCAACTATAGATATCTTTACGATAAGTCTTAATTAGCCTAGTTATAAACCAACTTACATGGAGGTTTCCTGAAATAGGGCTACCCCCACATCATCCATTTTAATGGTATTTTGCATTATAAACCATCCATTTGGGGGTACCCCCATTTCTTGGGCCTTCCTGTGGGGTATATATTGAACTGTATTTTGATCTCCACAGACCCCACACGTCACCCAGGACGCAACAGACCTTCGACATGTCATCGGTGCAGCTGAGGCATTGAGTACCATTACCAGAGATACGCATCGACAGCTGGCAAACATGCCGTGGCATGGCAAAAAAATGCTGGGAACCATTCAAGATCTGCTGCATTGTTTATTATGTTGAGTGTGATATATATATATATATCATGTACATACATAAATACATACATGTATACAAGCTATTTTCAGACACGCCCAAAATGTGACGTGGTTTGATTTGATTTGATTTGGATGGTTCTTGATGCTGCATGGCAATGGCGTCTCTGCAACGGCTTGATCAAGCGAGGCATTGGTATTTGTGGTTTCTGGCAGTGAAACCCCACGTCCAAGGCGAGGGCCTCCCAGGGAGCTGCTTGAGAATGTGGAGCATACACAGCATGGGTAGATGATGGTAGATTAACATACTCAAATTGCCTGTCCTACTTGGAAGTCTTGGTCTGCCGGGTTTGGAGTTGAAAATATTGTGAGGTCTCTCGTTTTGCAAGCGGCTTGGAATCCCCTCCATGTTTCTAGAGTCTTGCTGAAAGATTCCATGTCGTTGTATGATGTCATATGATCTTCACAGTTTATTTTTCTTCCAGTGGTTCTTGGTGTTTTGAGATGTGCCCGACAGGTCGGGGGGTTGGAACTCTGCTCCTGGATGAGATCCAGAAGTTGCAGGTTGCAGCGATCCAGGGGAGCAGCGGACATTGGAAAACCCTGCGGAAACGCCGAAAAAGAAATCTGGAACCTCAAATGCGCCATGGTTGAGACAAGTGATATTGTCCCCATGTGCATATTATATATATATACACATACACACATACTCTTTGGGCATCCCCCATTTTGCGGAACCCAAGTAGAATGTCGATTAAAAAGAAGAACATGTGGGATGGAGCGAGTGGTTTTCGATGGTTTTCGCCATTTTTGAAACCTGCAGTATCGTTCAATTTTTCATAGATGATTTCCCTGGGGAAACCAACATGGAAATGAAAAAAATGTTGCAAGAAAGCCGTTGAACATTCCTGCACTAAAAATGTTGAGTTTCAGAGATACCCTCCAGGATCGCGATGTGTTCCCTTGCTACCTGGACAGCGGGTGGGTGTAGCTGTGATGGTCTTCACCTGAACATCGGTGAATTGATGGGCCCGGAGCTTGTTTCACGGACTGGATATTGGGATAGGTCACATTTCGACCTGGTGGCTTTGACACCGGAGGAGACAAGCAGGCTGCAAAATGTGGCCATTTATACGAAGAAGAAGTTCAGAGTGGAAAAGGAGGTGTCTCAGCTTGAAGAATGTGGAGGGATGAGAACACCTCTGGGGACATTGATATGCAATGATTAGAGTATAAATTAGACTGCATAGTGGATAGAGGCTGTTGGGATCCAAGCCACCTTAATGTTCCCTCATGTTAAAACGACAAGTTCTTACAGTTCATCAGGAAGTGTCGTCTCCTCAGCAGACTCTGTTCTAAAGCCAGTGAACTTACATCTGAATCAGGAGGTTCCAGGGTTGTGAAAAAAACTTGACCTTGCAGGTTGTATTTCCAGCTGTTTGGTATGGAGTCTTGAAGATGTTGGATGCAGTTTTGTCTCAGTTGCGAAGGTGATATCAAGGTGATTTTAGAAAAACAAGCATATAGGTCACGTGTGTCCGAAAATACGGAATATATCAACCCGACCTCCCCGTTCCGCTTCCACTCCACTCAGTTCTGCGTCGTGGCCAAAGAGAGCCGCGAGGATGAAATCCAGGGGTGCGCCGTTGGGCACTGGAAAGTTTGGGATTTCTGCGGGGCTGTGTGGTTCCATGAACTTGCTTCTTTTAGCGAATATTCAGACAGATATTGGTCATGACATGTTCGTGGTTGTCTCGGTTGCATATTGTGTTGGTACATGTTTGCTTACAAAGCAGTGCTATTTGTTAAACAGATAGGAAGAACTATCAACAGTATCACAACGAATCCCCTGGATTTTGCCACAAAACGTTGACCCAGCATCCATCAAGCAGGTTTGACGTGGACCTCAAAATGTATGCCATGCTTCGGCCGCCAATGACCACGCGAGCGAAGCTTTGAGGCCGTAGAGTGGTGATGAGAAGGGCTGAGTTAGCACTTGTGAGGTGACTTGTAGCCCTGCAACTGTGGTGTTGAACCCCAATCCTGAAGCGCTGTGACTCATGAGTTGAAAATTGGGCCCGTAGGCCGAGTCACACACATGGTCATGTCATATGGATTTTTCAGCTAAAGCTGTGGTCTTATATATTTTGTGAATTCTATAATCCACCATTTGCTGATTCTTGTGAAAATGTGATTTGTTTTGGAAACCTCTACACCAGATTCAGCAAATTCAAGCCAGTTACATCGAGTCTGTGTGTTTCCCTCAACTCAACTCGAGGTTCAATTTACGGTGGAAGTTTTGACTAAGACATACTAAGTTTTCACACATTTTCCTCACACAAACACTTCCATAAACTGCTGCATTCAAAAGTTTCTTCCGTGGCATTGCCAACATCTGGCACTCTAGGGCCATGGCTCAGTTTGGTGTCTCTTGAAGTTTCAAATTTGGTAAACCCAATAAGCATATAGCTGGATATGTATATATGTTTAAATCTGTATGTATGTAATGTATGTAATGTATGTATGTATGTATGTATGTATGTATGTATGTATGTATGTATGGTATGGTATGGTATGGTATGTAATGTAATGTAACGTAACGTAACGTAACGTAAGGTAAGGTAAGGTAAGGTAATGTAGTGTAGTGTAGTGTAAGGTAATGTAATGTAAAGTAATGTAATGTAATGTAACATAACGTAACGTAACGTAAGGTAAGGTAAGGTAAGGTAATGTAGTGTAGTGTAGTGTAATGTAAAGTAATGTAATGTAATGTAATGTAATGGTATGTATAGTATTGTATTGTATTGTATTGTAATGTTATGTTATGTTATGTTATGTAATTAATCTATCTATTTGTCTGTCTGTCTATCTATCTATCTATCTATCTATCTATGTATCTATGTATGTATCTATGTATCTATGTATATATATGTATATATGTATATATGTATATATGTATGTAATCATATATAATCATAAATGGCTTGTATAAACCCTCCCATGGTATTGGATTCCCCACAGGCTTTTAGATGGTTTTAGATGGAGTAAGAGGGACACGTGCTTTGGCTTTGGGTTGTCAAGCAAAGAGGTCAATACATCATAGGGATGGTTTACCATGTGGAGCCTTCGTCAGACCACGATGTGGGACGACCACATCCTGCCTAGTTGTAGCGCCATTTTGGGGGCGGGAATAGCTGCCAAAAACTCGGCTGTTTCAAACATCTGCTGTTTGATTTGGAACCCAGAGGGGTTCCAAACCACCAGTTTTTCCCGTTGATTCATGGTTGATTAAGGTCCTGTCTGGTTGGTTTGTGTTCAGAACTTTGCCTGACCCCCTCGTCATTGCCCACCCTGCAGGGAGCACATGGCAGCACCACTGCGACGGGAGAAGAAAATGGAAAGTGTGGATGTTGGAGTAGATGCCAATGGGCCAATGGGATTGGTGGCTTTTGTGGTATTTTGTGATGTCAAATCATGTGTCAAAACCTTGTACCCCTGGTGAACATCAAAATAGCTGGTAAATGGATGTTCATTCCCCTAAAAATGGTATTAATAGGTATTGACCCATACCCATGTCAAATCATGTCAGATTATTGTTAATAACTAATTGTCTAATTGTTTGGATTTGGTTGCTTGGCGACATGGTTCAAAGCTTCATGGGTGACAAAAAAATTATAAAACCTTCATTGAATGGAGGTGAATGGTTCTTACATTAACCAAAACTATCCAACTGGGATGGTGGTTGATGGTTTGTTTTCAAGCATTTTGACCTGTGGCTGAGTCATGGTCTGTTCCTTACCCAGGTGCCACCATTCCTTCGCTGCAGGACTGACAGCTGGGAAATGTGATGGGTTTAGTCAGCAAGAACGGGGTAAAAATGATGAATTGGCATAGCATGATTTAACCATATCTGGTTGGTGGTTTCAAACATGTTTTTTCCATGATATATGGGATAATCCTTCCCATTGACTAATATTGTTCAAGATGGTTAAAACCATTAACCAGATATCTATCAGTGATTCGCAAGGGAAAGTTGCGAGATATTGCAATCTTGAAACTTACATGGACACTTGACACAGTGTTTAAATACATGCTACCACTGGATGCACAGCAGATGATTCCATGATTATCCACTATAGTAGTTCTTAATAATCTTCCATTCAATCGCAATGATCATTCCGAGGATAAGAAAAATACGTATGTTTTATCCCAAGATTCCATTGTCATCTCTAGTTTCCCATGATGATTCCAATTGGTGCTGGGAAATATGTTGATGAGATATTCCGAAATTCCCACTATCATTATGCTGAAAAATCTCCTTGTTGATGGATGTAGACTGGGGAATATCCCATTATTATCCATTACCCTCTGGTAAACTAACATAGCTATTGAATATGGCCATTGAAATAGTGGATTTACCCATTAAAAATTGTGATTTTCCATAGCTATGTTAAATTACCAGAGGGTAATATCATTATTCTTCCCGAAATTATTCCATTGCAATCATGATTGACTCCCAAATGTCTATAGATTTCTCACTAATGAATTCCAAAATCATGATTGGATCCCATGAATGATCCCATGCCATGTTATCCCAGTTATTCCATTATTATCTCTATTTCCCCAAAACTATGTCATTTCAATCATTCTTAAATATCCATGTTTGATTGAAAAAAATCTATCATCCCCTATGTTCCATGACTAATTCCTAATTTCCATTCAGTCTTCCATTCCTAAATCACCTTATCATTCCCATTTTAAAAAGGCTTCACCCCTCTCCCAGGCGATCGAACTCCAGAACTTACCCCTCAGCAGTCGCGGGCCGTGGCCCGGCACAGTGTGGAGTTGGAACCCAAAAATGGCACCACTGAGATTTGGGAATTGATGGAATTGATTCATTTGATGAAGACTATGGGAATCTATGGAGCAATGAGGAATTAGACAATTAGTTATTAACAATAATCTGACATGATTTGGCTATGGATCAATACCTATAGATACATGACTTTAGTGGGATGAACATCCATTTACCAGCTATTTTGGGGTTCACTAGGTACCAGGGTTTTGACCCAGCCCCATTTGATGAAGACTATGGAGCAATGAGGAATGGACTTGGGTGAGTCTCACAATGCTGGATTTACCCGATTTACTTACTGAAAATGACCAGCATGATTTTGCTAGGCAAAATGATGAAAAACCCATGGATTTGGGGGTATTACACTTTCAGACATGCCCATGTGAGGCCAATCAACACACCCTTTTCTCCGAGAAAATGTTGTTCGGCGTTCGCAATCCAAAGTCGTTTGGCTTTCAGATGTCCTAAAAGGATCTAAAAGGGAGTATCCCCAGTCGTCACCAAAGGTTTCAAGTCACTAAGTCATGGCCGATTTTTTGGATGATTTGGGTCTACCCCCATGGATTGGAAGCATTGGATCTAAGGTTTGGACGGGCACCATTGCCTTCATTTGCTTGTGCCTTCTGGCTGGGGCCCAAAAGAACATGGCGAAGAATGGCGATTTTCGAAGGGACATGGGGTCAAGATGGTCCGGGCGTCCACGAACTAGTCTTTGCTCATTTCTGATGTCTGAGAATATCCAAGAATATGATTTAATTATAAATAGTTATAACATAATATACCCGAACTCTCCCTTCTCGGTTATTCTTAGACAATATATCTGAGAATCATGATCAAATGTCAGAAATATCATAAATTGTCATGTCATCTGATAATATCTAAGAATCCAAAAAATCTGAGAATCATAGATAACTATCTATGATATCTATATTGACTCTATGGGATCTATGAATCATAAACACGTTTGGGAGGACCCAGTTTCGTCCCGCAGGATCTAAGGATAGCAGTGGGATGTCCAGGTTTCGACCCACAGCTGTCGGTGATCATGTGTTTTTGAGCGATCGTTTCAAGCATCTCATTTGGGAGTTCATGGTTTTGAAGTATAGCACCGCCCAAACAATTATATATATATATATAGAGATGGAAAAGTTTACTGCAAACCCTGGGAAATATATGGAAATATGGAGGAAGCATCATCTTTAACTTCGTGGAAAAAATGGTCTATTTGTTTGGAGATTGCTATGATATGCCCATGAACAGCTTGGGTCACCTTGGGGGAAGATGATCCGAAGAGATGATGGTGTTTTGGGCACCTCAGGTAGTTGTGATAGTTGTTATCGCCTACGCCATCGTGCAGGAAGACAAGCCGGAGACTGAGAGCTTGATCACTATAGATATGAAATCATGGGGGTTGTGAGGCATTCTACTGTAATTTACCCAGAATTCAGCTTCCTTGGTGGTTTCCATAAGATTTGGCTAAGAGGATCTTGAGGCGATTCTTGATTTCCCAACAGTAATCACGTGGCCACTTGTACTTAGTGAATTGTAGGGTTACCGAATCAATGCGGCATCACATGAAGGACTGTTCTGTTTTTCATCCATGACTTTCTGGAGAGTCAAACCACACTACACCAAACAACTACCTCTGACTTTGTGCTTTTCAGGTGGCTTGACAGCACTAAAACCAGCAGCAAAAAGAAGCAGCCAAGGCAAAGATGCACGAGTCACGACCTCCAAATGCAAGTGAGGAATTCCAGGCTGAAATACCAGGCGCGTTGCCCGGGTCACTGGGTCAAAGATTGGGATTTCTATGGAATTCCGCAAGCAAAGGGTGGTGGGGCTGTGAGCAACAGCATTTTTTTGGCAAGCTGCGTTGGTGAGGCAGTGCGTAAATTGAATTTGCTCATCACATCATACCCTTGGAATAGATGCTATGATGATGATTTTGTGGTTTCCATAAATTGGGTACCTCAAAATACCCCAAAATGGATGGTTTATGATGGGAATACCTGAAATGGATGATTTAGGGCCCCCCCCATTTGTGGAAAGCCTTCACAAACACGTGAGCGATGACTTCGCGAACTTCTGTCAATCAACTCTCGCACGGATGGCCGGTCATCAACATCCATGTAGGATATGTAGATCTCTTTGAAAATGGGCCCCAAAATGCATTTGATGGTTTCAAATCATATTCATTTACGCTGGGGATGCTGTAGGCCACACTCTCATTGTGGGATGCTAACAGGTTGCTGATGGTGGCCATAACTGGCCGTCAAATGAGCCGATCTTCCTGGTAAAATGCTTTGCTTCCCATGTTTGTTGAAGACTTCCTATTTTGGCTGGTTAAGTCTGTGCTTGTTCTTGTCGGTTCGATCCAGTTTTTTTTGGTGAAATCCAATTCTTGTTGGTTAAACAAGTACCCAGTGTTGCTATTTCAATGCCCATTTTGGTTGCATAAATATCTTTGTTGGTCGGTCTAGTCCACTTTTTTGCTCATTACTGTAGGTCTTATTGTGTTTATTGTTGAAGTCCTTCCGTGATGAAATCATATATAGTAACCCCCCAAAGAGATAGAAAAAACACATCCTACAGAAATAATGGCAAAACACGTTTCTATCTTTTGGCACCTACTATATTTTGCTAGAGATAAAATGCCAGTAACTCTTGGTCTTAGTCCTCCCATTAGCGCCACGCGCCACGCGCCGCAATTGCGCAGCACTTCTTGGCGGAGAAAGAACTGGCATCGTTGGGAAGACCCAGGAGGAGGGTTGTGGGAGATCAAAACTGGGGTTGTCTTGGTATGGGTTTATCTGAAAATGGTGGTATGCCCATAAAATGGCCACAAATAATGGGGAAAGTGACATAAAGTGACAATAAGAAAAGGTGCAACTATAGGATACATGACATGTTTTCATGGTGTAACTATAGGATACATGTAAGTACAAAGCTGCGGTTCCCATAAAATTACCTTCTTCCTGTCATTTACATGACCTTTCCAATTGAAACCCCATCGCCTACCTGTAAGGTCGGCTGCGCAGGCACGATCTGGGCAGTGACTGGGCGGGACTGAAAATGTCTGGATGGTTGATGGGTTAGTCAGAAAAATTGGGTATCACCCAATTCCACTTGTAGTACAGTCATCATATGTCATCATTATGTTCCTTATTCAAATATGGCCGAGATATTATTCAAATGGCCATTTGGAGATATCCCATGATATCCACCTATTTTCAGACAAACCCTAATCATTCTTCAGATGAATTCACAGATTGTCCTTCCATCATGGAGGAACCGATTTAGAGAAATCAATAACAGCCAGTTTGGAACCAGGGTGCCAGCATTGAACAGCAGCTAGTTGCCAGCCCCTAGAAACGTCTAAAAGAGACACATTGTCCTGCAGGCAGTCGCAAGCATCCTGCGATTAAAAATCAAAACCTTCTCGTGTGATTGTTGACGAATCTTGCTCTTCGGGCTAATTGCGTGTGTGTGAACTTTTTTGCATGGCCAGCCCGTTCAGAGTGATTGAATTCATGAGATTGG